TAAGATCTAGACACGTATGATCGTTAAAGCCCGCGCTTTCAACCCATCGAGAAAAGCACACAAAAACAGTTTGAAAAGCATACAAATTAAATAAAAAACAAAACGGTGAATCAACGAACGTTTCTTTTTTAACACCAAGAGAATATCAACTGTTTTTCTCTTGTTGACACCGTATACAGTCACTTAAGAATTTGGAACGGATGATAAGAACGCGCTAAAAATGATTTAAGTCTCACTATCTTCTTCTAATATAAATCGGAAGTTGTATTCGATCTAGGGAGCTAACATAAAATATTCTTTGCGTAAACAGTTGATTTTCATGCGTTCTTCTTTTCCGTTTATTACTTGTATTACCAGTATCTCAAACTTTCCTATCACGTTTATCAGCCAACGATGTCCTCAGATAAATAAAATTGGTATTACTTATGAAAAAGAGCGATTAAACTTGATTGGTGCTGTTTTGGAATATTTTTGTTTAGAAAATATTCCGTAGTCTGCTCGAACGTGTTTCGTTGTCAGATGGCGACGTCAACTATAGACTGTATTGCGTTCCAAAGTCACGCATGACCGACTTCAAACGCGATTTGCATATCAGTTCAACAAATCATTGCAGTTAACGTACCGGCACGGCAGACATGTCTTTATTCGGTTTGATTCTGTTCTGTTCCCTGCTATTTCTTCAAGATCCTCCTGTCAAATCAAAGGTAAGTTACGACTGCGAAATAGTTTTACTTTTATACAAGAGATAGCCCACCTAAAAATATTGAAAAAAGCGCAACTGAAGCACTGTCGTGTTATTAAACAAATTACCAAGACGTTTGAAATAAGAGTAGAAGTGCCTGAGCGGGCAATTTGAACGAAGTGTTCGGTTAACAAAACCAAACGAAAACTTTAAGTAGAAGCTGATAAAGCAAAATGAAGCAAAAACGTAGAATTTTGATTTAGTAAAGATGTGAGCAACATATACCAGCAACTTTTGAAATTCTACCGCATTCTAAAACTCTCGGAGGGTCTACATCTTGTTTAGTAACCCAATCAAATTTAAATTAAGGACCAGTTTGTTCTGGGTAGAAACGGTTCAAAGTTATCACGCTTTTGTAAAGGTGAAAACGTTTTGCGTTCAAAATACCTTTCGCAAACCGAAAAATTTACCAGCCTTAAGCGTCATTCCACTCGCGCGCGCAATCACTGATAAATCTGGATAAATCTCTGCCGTGGCGTGTTTACAGTTGAAAAATGTATTTTTTTAACAAATCTTTGATTCAATGAATTACTTCGTGTTTTTTCTCGCATACTTTCACAATACATAAAATAATCCACTGGGATTAAAGTAAAAAAGGACTTTAAATTAATTTGTCTTTATTACATTACATTCATTCAACCAGAAAAAAAGCTCAGAAGATTTATAAAATTTCTGGAGTATTTGCATTAATAACTTCATAATGGTGCTAGTGTTAGAGTTGTATGTCCGAGGAACCCGGATTGTCTTTTCAAGAGTTTTGAAAACAGTAAAAGCTTACTTGAAAAAATTTGGTCTTACCTATAATACCTAGATAACTAAGTTTTATCTAAACTTGTACCCACTCGAAGAAAAATGTGGAAATAGTCAGATGTAGTTACATGCATGCGATAAAAGGAACCGATGTGTTGTAATATCAACGTTGTTTTTATAAGGGAAGGGAGATAGAAGTGGAACCTGTCAACCCATTATGTCTACGTAATCAAATATTTTCGAAAACGGTTCGTTGTTTTGGTTGAAATTACACTTGCCGATAAGGATCAAAGAGGGTCGCAAAGGAAGCGGTCACGTCACGTTTACGGTTGACGGTTAAAAATAAACCGTTTTGACGGTTGACGGTTAAATTTTAGGTCGTTTGACGATAGACGGTTAAATTTTTTGGAATATCGTCTATAAAACGAAATATACGCGCGAATTTGGCCGTAATTTTTCGTTAAAGGTTTCAATTTTCCCCATATTTTAATAATCAAATTAATCCTATAATTGGTGCGTTAAAAATTAGGTTTTTGGTCTTCAACTATGTGTCTAATCAGCAAATCAACTTAAATCACTTTTGCTACCGCTGGACGTATTAATAACCTGCTCAACCAAGAAGCTGTCCCCTTGCAGATTATTCCGAAGCTATCATACAATAGACCTAAGCGCTTCAAGAATTGTGTTGTACCCGACTGCTCAGTGATGAGCTTCACGACCCCTGTTGCCGCATCCGTCACGAATATTGTTTCCCCAACAGTGCAAATTCCGTGTGGTTGAACAAAGGTGCAACTTTTTACAGTCCAATCTTCATTTCCTCTGCGACCACTCCCCTCTTGAATCGTTACTACGTTGTCGACTGGGTTATATACTTTGACCTGATGAGCTCTAAATTCTGTAAAGGCCAAAGAGTTTTTAAAGGGCTCAACTCGCTTGATTTCTGAGCAAGAATTTGTCTCGTTCTTTAACACCGTATCAAATGGTCCACCCTCTAAATTAAACTAATATAAACCAATGACCAACATTACTTGGACACTTTACGGAAACGAAATAAACCAACCGGCCACCAACAGCCAGCGATTCTATCGCGGCTACATCTGCTGGATAGTCAACCAATTTAAGGGACTTTCTCCGGATAGCAACTCCGTCCTTTTCCAAAGTCACTTGAAAAATCGCTCTTTGCTCATCATCTACATATACTACGTCACTAGAAACGCAAAGGGCGGCGGGGTTGGGTAAAAGCGGCTCAATATGAACACGATCGAGATGAATTATCCTTCAAACGGAAGTCCGTTCTGCCAAAACGGACTTCCGTTTGAAGGACTTGCCCATAAATGTATTTTTGTGGTATATTAAAACTTTTATTCAAAAACAGCAGAACTTGACCCCATTGAAGACTATCGTTTGGTTCGTAATTAAGGATAACTGAGACATTAGGCGTGCTTATTTGACGGTTGACGGTAAAAATATTGCTTTATTGGCGGTTGGCGGTTAATATTTTGGCCATTTGACGGTTAACCCCATTGAGACCTCCATCAAAGCTTTCAAGCCTCTTTCAAATTTCCACCGCTTGAGGTGTTTCGCTTTTGACGGTGTCAAGATTTCGTTTAGTTAACATTAAAAGCTCAATGGATTACGCAAAAATTTGTATCAGAAAGATCTTTCTCGAGAGGTGTAGGAAAAAATTCATATCGAGACGTAAAATCAAGTAACTTGAGAGTAGAAATGATCATGACAAAGCAAGTTCAAAATTCAAAGGTTGTTCGGAATGCACTACTTTCTTTTATTAGTTCTTAACTAGGTTCAGTCTTTTCCAACTCGTTTCCCAAACAAGAAGTGCGAAAACAAAACCTCTTAATTAAAGAAAGCCCGTTTATAACGAACAGTTTAGCTGTTATAAAAGCTAAAATTTACTCTTAATTGCTGTAAAAAAAAACCCTTTGTTCTTTTTGAAATAGTAAAACTGAATCAATAACACAGACGGAGTTTGATGAATGGACAGCTCAGCTAAATAAACAAATATCTAATATCTTTCTCAGCCTTAATCAAAATGTAAATTACTCTTTGTTTTTTGGTTCTTTTGTAGACAAAACGTGATTATGTTTCTTGAAACAGTCGTGCTTTTCGACGTGACCTCACATGGCGGAGCAACACACAACTAGTTCCGTGACATCACTAGTTTCATAACACCGTTTCAGTGACGCCAAGGTTATCGAAATCCTCGCAGTTTTGTGCAGTCAACGCAAACCCACTCGATTAAAATGCCTTAGCATGGTAAAAAGAATTTACGCAAGGCAAAAAAGTAATTTCTGGCAACTTAAATGGATTCGAATCGATTGATTGACTCATGCATTCTACGAGTAAAGTGTCGGGAAATAGATAAAGTCAAACGATGCTTCGAAAGCTGTAAACAGCCATAAGTTTAAAGATTTCTATTTATAGTAACTTAGATTAGGAATGGCATAGAATATTGTACCTGAAATTCGGCATTCCTAAAAAAGGTCATCAAGTCTATAGACTTAAAAGATGATTCATTTAAGTGGTTCTTGGAATTAACTCCAAAAAAATACACATTGGGGTCGAATCTTTGAACTTGTAGTGAATTCTTGGGATGCAATACCGCGATATGTGACTTGTGGTCGATATTGATATTCAGTTTATTTGGCGTATGTGAAACACACCCTTAAAACCAAATTTCATACCAAGCATATGATATTCACAACACTGTTATTTTGCAATACTCAGCAAGTTTCAAAAATCGCGAAATTTTCAAGTGTCGCGAACTCACACTGCCAAGAAAAGAAAATGGCGTCTTGTAAAAGTAGTCACGGTAAACTACAAGAAATCAGTCATTAAAGAAATAAAATGATGATTACAGAGGACTTACTCAAACGAAACCAGAAACAACAAAAATGGTTTTATTTCCTGTTCCAGTTGGAATTGCGTGTGCTAGTAGTGTTGATACTTTTCACGGCGTAATGAAACAATTGAAAGTCGTTTTGCTTTAAAGAGAACGCGACATGTGATTTTTTTAGTCAGATGAAATGAAATTCTGAAAAGATCCGTTTTCTAAGTTTCTCTTAGAGTCCAGAAAACGCTCTCTGAGTGCAAATCACAACGAAAATTTACTTCGTGTGTTTTGAAGAATTTTTGTAAACTCTCCGTACGTTTCTATGGAATAATCTTTAATCCAAAAACAAGCACCAGTGCATTAGTACTGGTTTAAATTTTTGCAATTCTGAATCACAGCGACTCGTGGTCGAGGAAAATTACGATGCTTAGAACTAAATCGCGAAATTCTAATCGTCTTGATCTGTTTGGCCATAAAAGTCTGATGAAAAGTTAACGTGTCTTGAACCTTCTTAAAAATGTAAATTTTGTCAACCTTCCAAGTGCCAATAGCTTATTTCCAGTCACGATTTAGTTAAAAAACGAAAAAAACAGCTACAACTGACGAAAAGTAGCCGAAATCTTTATCTGTTATTACAGCCTAACTCCAGACTGAACACTGGTACCTATTTTTGTCACGTTAAACATGAAATCAAAATATTGCGATATTGTGTTCGTTTTGAGGTGTCATGAAGACACTCTTGAGGAGCGATGAGGAGTATTTGTTATTTGACCCGGATAAACGAAACGTCACGATCGAATCAACCAATGAGAAACCATAATCTTTTTTCCTTAATTTCTGGTTAAACAGCAGTTAAATGTGCCTTTGACACCACTAACGGCGTTTTTTGGCGTTGAGTCTCGTGTCCATAACAATCATGTATTTTCTACCGATATTTCTCATTTCCATTCTTGTACCATGTTCCTATACAGAACCAAAGGTGAGTTGTTTTAACTGAATTAGTATCTCGATTCGTGGCCACCTCATTCATCGTTATTTCAGACAATAGATTTCGAAACTCATGGGTCAACTTCTCCTTTTCGTTTAAAGAGACTTTGGCTTTCAAATTTATCAAAAAAGCTGAGTAAACATAAAAAAAATAACACGAGGGATTTAAAGCAGCACGCTTTTACACAGAAGAACAGAATCTAGAATCTTTTAAGTTTTTCTTTGTACGATTCAAATCACAGAGGTGAAATCTTGAAAGCATATCTTTTAGGTTATATCAGCGTATTTAGTGGGAACGATAAGCAGATTTTCACACACCTTCTAAGCCAATATGCTTCCTTTCAACCGCAACGGCAATACCCAAAAATCCCAAGAAAAATTTCAGTTTCATCAAGAATTTATGATTTCATAACTGAAAAATTTACCACAGCATTTACTGGCATCTCAACGAGTTGTGATCCATCGCAGCGTTTTTTTTTTTTTTATATTCTTCGTTCTGCCGATGTGATATTCGCTCCTCTAAATGTGAAGCATGGCTTATATGTCCTTTTATTTTCACAACTAAAGGCATTATCCAGGTTAAGATACATGCGTTGAGGTTTCATCGCAAGATTTCCGAAATAATATCAACTGAAGCTTAAACTAATACTGACACGCTGAAAAAAATCCCCTAATCTGTTCGAGAGCGTTCGAAGCACCCTGATGCCGGAAAGCTTGGAATCTTCACGGAACGGCGCGCTAAAATTTAAAAGCTTCTGCTGAACGTATACGTGTTGAAGGTATTCCCCTTTTGTAGAAACTTTTTCACTACACCAATATCAGAGAAAAGAAGAAGAATTATATCCTTTTTCTTAGGCCAGAAGAAGTGAAAAGTTTGGCTCAATGTAGAAAACGGTACAAGCACATCGGTTAATAGCATACAATAAATAAAAAAGTTTTAATTAATAAAATATATTTGTTTTTCAGCTGACATTTCCAAAGTTGTTCAAATTTGATTCAGTATTAGCTTTTGTAGTTACGAATTGAGAGCGTGAATTTAAGAAAACTTTTTCTGCACGTACTTGAAATTTATAAATGAGGTGGAAGAAAACGACAGGAAACTGGTGTAGAAATTATCCCAAACGATTTTGATTTTGTCTTCTCGGTGACTGCAATTTTTATTCCAACAAAACCAATTTCTTAATCCTTTCACTCCCACGATCTCATGAGTAATTTTCCTTACTGTCTGCCATGCAATTCTTATGAAGTTATTACGGAGAATTTGGTATAGGATCAACTAAAAATTCCCGAACTGATACTTTTTCTTTATTCTCATCATTTGTCTACCTAATATTGTATTGATACTTGAAGGAGAAATTCTGTTTTGGTCACTCATGGGAGTTAAACGACTGGTAAGGCTGTCGACAGACATGAAGCTGTTGTAAGTTACATAGTTATCTACCGAAAAAAAAATTAAAGGATAAAATCCTATGTCTTGACGTGCAGCACCCTTGAAAAGTTTCTACGGATATCTATTGACTGAGTCGATGGCCAAGTAAAACTACAATAACTCGATAAAATTTAAACTCTTTTAGAGAAAAATCACTGAATTTTGCGAATTTTAAAAATCAGTCCGCGGGACCTCTTCGAAGGTGATGACGGATTCACTCGGAACAATTGAAGTTACGTCGCTAGTCCGTTAACACACGAAAGTATCCAACACAGTGTGCGATCATTTAAACGAAAGTTACTGAGCGTTAATTTCTCGTGAAACTGATTAATTTTGTTGCTATAGGTCGTTCTAACTGTTATATCTCGTTTATTAAACCTTGATATGACCATTCAAATGAAGGCTGATAGGCAGTACCTGCACCTGATTCTATTAATAATGTTGTTCGAGGTGGTTCTAACCCAAAAGCTACTATCGCCGGAGGGGGGGGGGG